TCATGTGAATTTACCTGGGGATTGATCTTGACCTTGTGCTAGTATTCTCTGGCTCAAGTAGAAGAAATTGGGCCCCAGTGACTGTTCCATCCTTGCCACACTGATACTATTGATCATAGACTTAAATGTGACCTTTTTGCCCTCTCCAGGGTCTGCTATTGCACTCATTTCAATTCTCAAATAACTAAAACCCAATCCTGCCTCTGTGAGGTGGTTCATCCACCCCTGTCTGACCTTTCCTGACTCCTCTATGTAGCATGTGCTTCTGTGTGCCTTAATTCTGCAGGAACTCAGAAGAAGATCCAAGTCTTTGGAGTCAACTGGAATGAATTTTATTTTAATGTTGGGTGTCTTTCTATGTGTCTTATCTGATGTTTCTTCATTGTTTTGAAAACTAAATAATGACTATTAATGTTATCAATAGTTTTGGAGCTAACATGAAAGGAGCTAACATGGATGTGCCAGATGAATACAGACAGTTCCTGTGCTCAATCTCTTTCTGAGTTAAAGTCTCCCCACATTCCTCCTTCCCATATATCTCACTCTTTCATGCCTTTTTCCTTTCCTTCCCTTCAACAAAAGTAACAGAGTCAGGGCCTGTGCTACCTTGTGAAGAAAGAATTCTTAAGATACAAATCAGTGGCTTTACTCTGTGGAGGTCATAAAAAAGAGCACTAGTAAAACCCAGTGTTCTCTCACCATCAGCCACATAGGCCTTCTCTCTGAAAGAAAAGGAATAGAATAAGTCTTTATGAACTAATACTGTAGTCTGCCACTGAGCATACCTCCAAAGAAACTTTGATTATTCGTATGTTGTATGTGAGTTTTGCATAATGGAGCTGCTCTTTTCTCATTCTGAGCAAACATCCTTCCAGATTATGTATCGTCTAAGCATTATGACTATATATTTTCTGCTATTTACCTTGTAACCTTTACTGAATAGATAATTTTGGCCAATGAATATGCTTCACTATGCTTCTTAGGAGAGTAAAACTCTCTCTATTGGCTACAAAGATTACTATTTCTGAGAGTAAAATCCTACACCATGTGGCAGTAACAGTGAACCAAGTACCCAACTGACTGTCACCCAAATCCATTTATTGCAAAATGTCAACATAGCAGTTAAACCTTAGTACAGAAGTTTGGGTTTAGAAAAACAACTCTTCATTCACATCTTTTGTCTTAAAAGAAAAGCACAATGACACGCATGCCATATGTCCACCACTACTGCGCTATAGCATCTGTAAAAGACGAACAATATATTCATGAATGTCAAATTATCTTTCAAATATTTTGTATTCCTCTTTGGGTAAGTGATGCCTAGCCTTTCAGTTTGTTTTCTCCTTCAGCGTCCTTCCTGAATGGGTGAACTTCCCAAGCGCTCCTGGCTCTGTCTTCACTTCCATTTCCTAGGGAGTGGGCAAACATTATGTAATTAACAGACGTCACTGATGTCCTAATTTCCCTTACAGGGAAATGCTTTTAATTCTTTGGAGGAAAGATTGGTCTTCAGGAAAAGATTGGGGTGACTATCTGCAATTAATATCATACCTTCCATTTAAGATTACAGGGTGAGGGAAAGGAAGACTGACTCATTTAGGAGGTTCGTAACGGCTAGATATGATGGTGCTAAATTACAAGAATTTTCCCAAGAGCCTTAACAGAAGTCAGGACTGTATGTGGCTCCCACTGCAGTCTGGTAAAGTAGGTGGACCAAAAATTATACCAATTTACAGATGAGACAACTGCGGTTTCCCAGATGTGAGGTGGTTTTCTCAAGATCTCATGGTAGCATATCACATAAAGACCTCAAGAATACTTTTCCTGTGTTTAAACGTGTAGGGGCTACTTTACATAGAAAGCCTTTTTCAGCTGAACTATGCACACCTGTGCGCTTGCACACAGACGTTTGGTTTCATGTGATTGGATTATCTAGCTAAAGTAGTCTTTACAAGACAACCATCAAATAAAGTGCATTTGATTTATCCTCCCCAGAATTAGTTTATTTATTTATAAACTGAAAAATTAGCTTAGTTGAAACTATATGTCCAGGAGAAATATCCAAACTACAAAGATGAAAATATAGTGATTACCCTTATACTAAGTCAGACTCCAGGCCTATGCAATTGCTCTAGTTGAGAGAAGAATCACTAAAAGATGGTTTTATGGTAGTATTCAGACAGAACCCAAGAAACACTCTTGGTTCTCATGTCTGGAGAGAGAAGCGGGAGTCAGTGCCTTCACCTGAGTTGTATGGGAAGCTGAGGGAGAAGGGCAGCTGGGATTACTGGCTTTCATCAAAACAACTGTATCCAAGACTTGTATTTATAAAAATCAATTCAATTTTTATGAATAAAATAATCTAGTTTATATATTGCCCGAAGCTAAAAAGAGGTATGAATCAAAACTGAGGAAATTAGTGACAAATAGGCCCCTCAGTATAAGCAATTTCTAGGAAATGAATTCCCCCAAGTGGCTAATTGCTACAGTGAGAGACAGGTGAGGACTTCTTCAGACTTTCAGTTTCTGATCGGAAGCCTCCCTCATGTCCTCCTTGGCCACGGCCTCTAAAGCCTCTATTACCTTGACCTTGACAGTCACCAAAGATGCCTCAGCCTTCACCATGACTACCATGACCTACACAGCTACCAAAGTCCCCTCAGCCACCAAAGCCAACTTTATGGGGACTGAAACCTACCTTGAGGGTGAGCACTAATTTATGTGGCTGTGAGAGTCTGTGGTGTCCCTGAGTCCACAAGTCTGGTGCTTCCATTTTGGTGAAAACCTTGGTCATCACCAAGGAAAAAAAGAGGAAACCAGTCAGGGAAGAATGAGTTGGTGGAACCTCACTAGCACAAGAGTGTCTTCATTTATCATGGAGAGGAAAATGCACTGGTCCCAAGCATCTGGTCCCTGCAAGGTATTTATAGCAATAAGAGTCTGCATTTCAGAAGAGAAGTCAAAACTAAGTATAGAGCCTGGAACATTTCTGCTCCAAACTGTCTGCAGCAATCATCAGTGGTGAAGGCCAGATCCATGCTGAGTCTAGGGGACAATGTTCTCTACCTAAGGACAGCCTCTTGTGCCACAGTCTCCCATGTCTCTGACATTATAGGCCTGGATGGTCTGGTCTATGCAGCTGAGTTCTGCCACCACTCTGGCCTTGATCGTTCCAGCTTGTCCAAGGAGAGAACCAACTTTATCCCTGTGTCTCAGGGTGTCTGACATTCACATAAATAACACATGCCCATCGCAATGGTGGATGTCATCTTTGTTGACATGGCCCAACCAGATCAAACCTGGATGGTGACCTTGAATGTCCACACTTCTTTGTAACAGGAACACTTTGTGATTTGCCTAAGGCCAACTGCACTGATTCCTCAGTCTCAGCTGAAGCTGTGTTTGCTTTTGAAGTAAAGCAAGAGTACATTGAAGCCCTATCAAAGCTGACCCAAAAGCCATAGAAGAGAACTTCACTGTGGCCATGGGTGTGTATGTGCCACCTCCCTCGGTGAAGAGCTAAAGCTCAGTGCTATCTGGTTTCCCAGAGAAATGTGCTGCTACTGTCACATATGTAATTTTTCCATTAACAGCCTCATCCATTAAAAAAGAAAAAGAATTTCAATGTCTGATGTGTTCTCTCCAATGGTTTTGAGTGACTTTGTAGAATCCAAGTATCTGAATTATATTATTTATTTTTTAAAGAGAACAAAAAGTTTAAAAAGTCAGAAATGATATAGAATTTCATTGAGCAAAATGAAATTCAGCAAGAGTTATTATGTTGCATATTGTTGTCTTCAAATTAGTTGCTTGGATTGCCAGATATAAGCATGTAAAAATGATCAAAAAAGTAATAAAAAATTAAAAAGGAGAGAGAGAAAAAATCATGCATTAATTCCTCCTTTCAATAGACCAGCAGAAATCAACAGTACAGTTATCCAAGTTGTCTAGTTTGTACACATATGTATTTCTTTTTCCCTTCTTTTCTCTCATTGCTCCTTTCCCTCATCTCAATTGTTCCTTTCCTTTGAACAGTTTCTTTCCCTTTCACAGTGTCTATTGTACTACTCAGATTTTGTTTACCCTTTCAGGTTCTTATACTAGCGAGCCAAGTATCTGAATATTGATTCTCTAGTTCAGTGAGAGAGACGAGTGCTCAAACTGCAACCCAGATCCTGCTTATTTATCACAAAGTACCCAAACTGCAATTAAACCTAAATAATGGGATTGTAGTTTAGGAAAAAAAAAAAAAAAACCTCATACATTAACATTTTTTGTCTAAAAAGAAAATCACAGGCATACCATGGGTTCATCACCACTGCTGGGCCTTTCTGATAGAGGTGAGTAAAGACCATACTTGCAGAATTTCAAGTACATAGAGTAGCCAAATTCATCCAGATAGAAGAAAGCGTGATGGTTACTATGGGATGGGGAAGGCAAGAACCAGGAATTCATGTGCAAGGGCGTGGCACTGTAGTTTGAGCTGTGGAAAGTCTTCCTGAGGTGAAGGGGGGTGATGTATGCACAAGGACGTGGCCGTTCTCGATGCTATTGAACTGACTGCAATGGTAAATTTTAGGTGATGCATTGTTGCTATAATTCAAAAACAATTTCTAATGCAGGTGAGGTCTACTTTTTAAAAATATTGATGCCTTTGCTTTCTTACTAAGTCTTAATAAATAAAACAGATGTAGCTCCACTTTAAAGTATCATAACTCATGCTCCATTATGAATTAATCTTGCACAAGAGTTTATCATCTTTTTATGACATGGCAAAATTAATCATCTTCCTAAAAGGATTGATAAAGCTTCATTTCAGATTTATCAAGAGAAAATCGATTTCTCGTATGTACATATTCTTCTCAAATTAATAGGAGTAGTAGAGTCGCTCAGTCCTCATATTAGTGATGGCTCTTTTGATTGCTTCTCTAGCCTAGATTGATCCAATTTTACTTTGTCTTTGGAATAACAATGTGTAGTGATACTCATGCTCTTTTCAGGATAGGGTGTGGGCCAATGTGGGGAAGAGCCTGAACTGCGTTATTGCTATGGTAGATAAACTGATTGAGAGAGACGGCGGCAGCGAAGGCAGCAGCGGCGACAAAGACGGGGAGAAGGACCTTTCACTGGCAGACTCCACTGCATCTCACCCAAGGGGTAAGGAACCATTTTTCCCCAATCATCAACTGAATAAACAAAATGAGAAAATCATGCTAAAATGGTAAAGAAGAAGAGCCAGCAGTAGTGCCTCTGAGGAAAGGGCTGAAAGCAGGCTTTTCCATGCTCTGGTTTGAATGATGGAAGGCTGCTTATCAAATTGCATCTTGGTTGTGTTTTCAGAGTTGTTTGCAATGCTCTTTTTTTTTTTTTTTTTTTTTTTTTTTTTTTTCTTTTTTTTTTTTTTTTTTTTTTTTTTTTTCCTTTTACCACAGGAAAGCTTTCTTGAAAGAAGAGCAGAATTTTCTTTTAAAGGGTCTGACAGAGTTTAATTCACTTTTACACATTCTCCCAAATTTTTATTATTAGGACCAGGGAGATGGCTCAGTGGTATAAGCACTTCCCCAGCAAGGGCAAGGGCCTGAGTTCAATCCCTGGTTCCACCAAATTTTTATTAGACAAGCACGCATCTATTGTTAACTCTGATTTCTAGAGAGCTGTTAGGATTCAGTGTCTCTCCTGGTTCCTGAACAGAACGCAATGTTACAGAATATTTCTTGCCTTATTTCTAGTAGGAATTTTTTTAAGTTATCCTCAAAACATATAAGTGACCTTGTTTCTGAGGATTGTGCGTTATTCCAAAAACATATCGTAACACTAGGTTTCCTTGGGTGCGAGTGCATACACATACTTGTGTAGGTGTGTGAAGATAGGTGCTTGCCTGTGGAGAAAAGAATGGATACAGAGATATCCTCAAACCTATGTCTTATTAACTTATTATTAGCAGGTTGACTAATTTATCACACAAGTGATAAAATTTTAATTCTACATGTCCCCATAAATAACTTATTTATTTTATTAGTTGACATAGAATCAAGGTTACTTTTCTGTATGTAATAGAAACAGCTGTTAGAGTGGACATAACATTTTGGTGAGGTATCTGGTGTTTGGAGGGATTAATCGGTAGTTCTCTACCTTCTTCTAAGGTCTATTCTTTCAAGAAAATGAGGCGTAAAAATTATGGACATTTATAAAATTAACTTTGTGTCTTCAATTAACTTTGTGTTGAACTTTTCATGTTGCAGCACTTATACTTTCTCAATAGATTGACTTCTGCAAATATTTTTAATCAGTATCTGGAAATTTTATTGTTTTAAATAAATTGGAACATTGTCTCTTACATTGTGATACATTTCTAAATCCCAAAGAATAAATTGAACTAGCTTTTCTTTTTTCACGGCTCTACTTAACTTCTATATTTTGCCTATAATTTGTGTTTGTCCAGTCGGTGCTTATGTAGCACCTTAAACAGGAGGTCTTCTTCTGTGACTTTGTTTATCCATTTTCTCTTATTTCTCTCTATCCTGAAGCTATTTCTCTTTTCCATGTTGTAGATTTTAACAATACAAAATTTCACTGAGTGAAGTAATAGGAATTCAACACTGGTTATTGTATTGCATGATGCTATCTTCAAAAGAATTGCTCAGGTTACCAGATATAAGCGTGCAAGATTTGTTTAAAGAACAAAAAAAGAAATATAACAAAAAAGTATAAGAAATTCCAAAGAACAAGAAGAAAAAAGAATTTAAAAATTTAAGTGTTAACTGTTCCTTTCAAAAGACCAGCAGAAATCACCTTACAATTATTGAAATTATCCTGCATGTATACATAACATATCTTTCTCCCTTCTTTCATTTGTCCTTTTCCTTATCCCAGTTTTTTCATCCTATTGAATAAAATATTTCTTTTCACAGTATCTATTGTACCTTTTAAACTTTAATTACTCTTTTGAGTATGTTAATTTAATAATACTATTTATATTTGTAGTTTTGAATGACTTTTGCATGTTTTAAATCCAAGATACTCAGCGGACTGAAGTGCCTGCTTAGGTAGAGCCCAGGGGCAGGGGTTTGATCCCCTGTGGGGATAGCGTGCCAGGCTGCCCACCCCCGGAGGGTCACACTGAGACAGTGATTGAGACTGGGCGTGGTGGCAGAGCCTGTAATCCTAGTGCTCTGGAGGCTGAAAACAGGCTAATCACAAGTCCGATCTATGTAGTGAGACCAGGTAGACCGTGTGCTAAAAAATAAGTAAATAAAATAAGTAAAATTTAAAAAAGCAAGGTATTAGAGCCAGCCAGGTAGCTCAACAGACTAAAGCATCCGCTTAGGCAGAGCACAACTCCGGGAGTTTGATCCCTGGTGTGTGCCCTGCTGGCCACACCTCTGGGATGCGCTGAGAAGGCGATTGAGACTAGGCGTGGTGGCACGCACCCATAATCCCAGCCCTTGGGAGGCTGAAAACAGGAGGATCACTAGGAGTCCAATCTGTGTAGTGAGACCCCGTAGACCCTGTACTACCTACATTAGAAATAAATAAATAAAATAAACCAATGTATTAAGATAGATCTTTGTTCACTGTATACATTTCTGGTATCTTGTAAGGGTGAATTCAAAGTGCCCAAAGAAGAAGACTTCCTCTACGATTTGAACATAACTAATAGAGTCGCAGTTGCAGAAATATACATACTTACGTGTGTATGTTTAATGAACACAGATTGCAATTTTATTTTCAGCACCTGTAAACACTTTCATAGGCATCTACTGTGTGCTTGACACATATGCCTTTAATTTCATAATAAATTGAAGATTCACGGATCAAATAAGCAAATATTAAAAACTTAGATTTTGATGCAGCTGTAAAGATTATGCAGTTAAATGGGGTATACCAATGAATGTCCATTTTGTATCTGTGTATTCAAAGTGGTTAGGATAGATATATAGTTGCATTCTCTTAATGAATAAAATGATTTGTTCTAATGGTGTTTATAAATAGTATCACAAATCTGTATCTTGTACAGCAATTAACCACTACGAAGAATATATGCAGTGTATTATTTGTTGAAACTGTACTTCCGATT